GATAAAGAAATCCAATCATGGGGAAAAGGTAGAACGATAATTCTAATTATTCAGTATAATGTTAGGCTGATACAAAAAAAACCCCAAAAAACCAGTTTCTCTCTTTTCCAGATTTCTTCAGGTGTGAAACTGACAATTTACCATACAGTTTTGATTTTTATGTTCACACTGCTTATATCTACATATGCTCTACCCTTGATATTAGTCACTCTTCCCCAACAAATATAGCAAAGTTTAAGCAGTTTATATATATATATATATATATATATATATATATATATATATATATATATACACACACACACACACTCAAGGCTTACCAAGTCTAATACTTAACAGAAGAAGGAAAAGGTGAGCTAAAATATATTAAGGCCATATATGTCAGTGTGTACAAACCTGGATTTTAAATATTGTTAATACAATTTAGCAGGTTAGTAAGTATTCAAGAGGATAATTATTGCAACAAATTAACATGAAACATGAATTTTATTAGAATTAAAAGGCTGAAAACTTCTCAATTGAAGCATCTGGCAGGTAAGTCACTTTTGATGCATACAAGAGAAACTTTACTTTACTACAGTAGTGAGTAAATTAGCAGTGTGAGAAGTTATGTATAAGAGTTGTGCTGAAAAGAAAGTTCTTGGCCTGATCCATTTGGAAGGCCATAATGGCTGAGCTGAGAACTTTTCAGTACCTGTGTGTGTGTGTGTGTGTGTGTGTGTGTGTGTGTGTGTAGTTATAGCAGCATTAATGGAAACTAACACAGTATGAATTTAGCTGCTGGTTGAAATACAGCACCGTTATGACAAATTGAATAGAGAACATTTGTGATTAGGATGAAGATAATCTGTACAAGATGTGTTCAGTGTTTCATCTCAGAAGGTGAAGAAAATGAAAGGTGTAAGTTGAAAAGTTGGTTAGCAAATTGAATAATGGCTTCTTGTGTAAATTCTGAGAGTCATTCAAATACTAAAGGTTGATTTGCTAAGCAGGGCTTTGTTTTCAGTTCTGTGATCAGTGAGTTTAAGGTGTATCATATTTGTCTCTTTGGGTACAACTCACCAAGGCCACTTTGCATTGTGAGTGATTCAGATATTTCTCATCTTAATGAATATTGAAGTTTTTTGCATATAAAATAACTCTATACAAAGAAAATAATAATCAGATGATAAAAGTGCCTAATAAACGATTAATCTTGAACAATTTTTTTCTTGTGATCCACTTACAGAAAACGGATATTTACAAATGTAATAAAAAGATCAAAAGAATGTTTTACTAGTTTGGATAATTAATAAAACACTCTGTAATTAATTTAATATTATTTTAATTTCTTAGATGAAGAGTTGTTAATTTTTGCTATTTAATGCTTTAATCTTATTTCTGTTGCTTTTTATTGCACATCCCAAATTGTTGTTCTATGATTGTTAATTAAGCAGTGTTGCTTGGAAAGAAATAAAGAATAAGCCACCTGTGAGACTTGAAATCACATCCCTTTTTCCTTGAGAGATTGCTTTTGTAGCAGCACCTTACCAATTAGGGTAAAAGGGCCAACCAGTAGGAATCCTCAACATTCAACTTGTACAGCAATATTCTTTACTTCAGGATACCTGTACACTATCATCTTGTAGGCTTACATTTTTCACTGGTTGTACAAGACCTAATAATATTCTCATTTCAGACATGTAAATCATTTTTGCATAGTATTTCTTTCATGAAAATTGAAAGAAATTCTAGGGTAAGTTAACACATACAAATATTTTATAAGTTTGTGTGTTTCAAAACTTACTCTTGAAAAGTTTCTTGCCAATAATGTGTGTGTGTTTAAAATTTGCTATATTTAAGAGGGAAGAGGACTCAATAATGGAGGTAGAGCATTGTAGATTTTGTTTGTTTGTTTGTTTAAAACTTAACAACCCATCGATCAGCAAGAGATCATTTAAGGTCAAACAGTTAACATTGTAGATATAGACAATGCTATTTGTTATGTTCACTGTATATATATCTGCCCTGTGTATGATGATAAACTACATCCGTGTCCTGGATAAGATGCTGAACTACATCTAACAGCAAGGCCTCTGATCAGGAGGTTTTGAGGAGCATGGAACTACCTCTTAATTGCTGGTGTTCCCAGGTCCACCTTGATTCGGGGTGGTAGCACCTGTTAGGGTCCCAACAATGGGTAAATAGTTGGGTCCCAAACTGTGGTTAAAACACTATGTAAGTGTAAAAATAGGTTTTAATACCAGAAATACTTTGTGAAAAAAAAATTTATTACCAGGAATATATTTTTGAAAAAAAGATATTACCAGCTGTACATTTTTTAAGAAAAAATATTAACAGAAATAAAAATTTTGTCAGCATTAAATAAATGATCCATTGAGGTTGATATACTGTAAAACAAACAAAACACATATATATATATATATATATATATATATATATATATATATATACACACACAAGTTCATAGAACAAAAAATATATATACATACACACACAAGTTTATAGAACAAAAAATTTTACAAAAATATTTAATTTTTAACATTCTCCTTTCTTGTGAATGCAAATAACTTAATGCTTTTCCATAGATTATATAAATCAGAGATTGTACAATGAAAATTTCACCTTAAAATTCAGCTTTGGCAAGCTATGGAATTATTGATTCATCTTTGTGTCAAAAAAAAAAAAAAAAAAAAAAAAAAAATGCTAAAAATCAATATCAGTTTAATGCTTTATAGATGAAGTCCTGATATTCATTTTTTGGCGAGTGGGTACTAGTTTTCTTTTTTCCTTTGATTTTCTTTGTTTTTTATGGCAAGACTCGGATCATTAAGTAAAGAGAAAGGATGATTCTGATGAACTCAATCCTCCACTCTAGGGATTCCCCAAGAGGATAGACAAGTTTAAGTCTCACTGGAAACTACTTATTTCTGATCTATACTTAATATTATTTAATGTGTGGGAAATGTAAAATAATTTAAATATTGCAATGAAACAAAAAATACAGAAGAAAATTATTCACACAAATTTAATAAATCAAAATTTATTAGCACATAAAAGTTTTAAAACTGAATACTTTGGTTTTCAAGTAATACTGGCATGAAATTTGGGGGAAAACAATATTGGCAGATTACTTTTTTATGTTTATTTTTAATAAAGAAAAAGATCCTTTCAAAAGGAACTAACGTAAAAAAAAGCAAAAACAGGAGTGATTGTTATGTAATATAGTTCATTAAATATCTGACTACATTGTCCAATGTATTTGATGTTTTTGTTGAGATACAATCCAGCCTAAATCTCTAGCAAAACTTTCTAATATTGGAATATTAATTCCTATTGGTTTTTATGACTTTTGTGACTTTCATTTTTATTTGTGATTTATCTTTGTTATTCTGACAAGGATTGGGAAAAATTTAGAGACAAGTAAGGTATTTCTGTAAAATACTGAACAGATTTTTTTGCATCCTGACACTTACATGGGTCATGTCATATCAAATATCTTTATTTCTGTGTTAACAATGCATGCTGAAATTAATAAACAAAGAATATTTAACAAACTATCCTTTCCTTCCATCTTAAAAATAACATTCAGGTACTATAAATAATTTCTGTTTTCTCTGAAATAATTACAACTTATGCAAAATTAAGAGAACTTTTTACTTTAAAATATGGAATATTTTTAATGTATTCTTAAAAGATAGTCTATTATTTAGGTTTATGAAATTTTCTGGCATTAAAGATAGTCACAGTTATTATAAAGTTTAATTATTCTGGGTGGATATAGATAAAAATTGTTTTGCAAATATTTTGCAATAGGAATTTCAGGTTTGCATAAAAATTATTAAAATATTTTAGGACTTTTCATGTCAAATTTGAAAGGAGTTTACATATTCTTTGAGACTGAAACAGTTGACCAAAAATTTCTTTAACTGAAGCTTAAATGTAATCCAAAAGGAGTACATTTTTTTTTAAGGATGATTAAACTGTTTATGCAAATTCTAAAAAAATATATTTTAGTGATGATGGAGAATATAATTTTTAAATATTCAGCTCATATGAAGAACTGAATTTGTAACTAAATGTTTATGGCTGTATTATTTACTATAATGCAAGAAAAGCAGATAAAAAAGGGAACTGAATGTTACAATGATGACCTAAACTGAAGTTTGCTTGTTTTAGTTAGGAAAGAGCAAAAAAAAAAAAAAAAAAAAAAAGAATATATTAATTATAAGTTGGTAGTGGAATGGAAAAAGGGAAAATGAATTTCTAAATAACTGTAGCCCCAGATCCCAAATATTAGTTAAATATTTAATTTCTCTATCAAGATTATGCATTGTGGAAAAAAATCTATTTTATCAGTTCATGGCAAATGACAACTGTGTCTGACAAACACACGGCAAAAAAAGTAAATGTTCTTACCACGTTAGCCTTTATAAATAGATTCTCTCTAAGAATCAATTCTTTCCAACTTTTAGATGCAAAAAAAGTTTGAAACCAAATTTCCCCCAAGTGTTTTGACTTCAGGAAATGGGTTCTTTGATGAGACAAACTAAAAAGTAGAACTTTATACTTTCCTTCTGACAGTTTTTTTTCTTTTTACTCTTAGTCTTATGTGAAAGAAGAAAAAAAAATTCTAAGGAGGTACAGTCTTGTGTTGTCTTCTCTTGCTTGCAACAGTTATTAGTAGCAGTAGTAATAGGAAGAAAAATAGTAGTAGTTGCAACAGAAATTTGTTTATCCAAGTTAAGGAAAAGTAGCAGTATGTATGCAAACACTTAGTACCAATATAGTAGGAAGAAGGAAAGTTGCGCTTGTCAGTCTAAGGGACACTTGTTATGAGTAGAATGAAGGGTGTGGGTGGTGGTAGGAGTATAGAGGTGGGGCAACGGAATAAATAAAGAAGGAATAAATGGAGATGGGAAGAAAGGGTGGGTTGTGGCTTTCAAGGTTAACAGAATATATATATATATATATATATTTCATGGGGAGATTTTAGAGGTTCATATAAAGGGAGAAAGTTGGTAACAAACAGTTGGAATAGCAACAGTGTGCAAGAGAGAGAGAGAGAGCAAAAGTGCGTGCCAGAGAGAAGAGGAGCAAAAGTGCGTGCCAGAGAGAAGAGGAGCAAAAGTGCGTGCCAGTAGATCAAAATTGTGTGAGAGAGAGAGAGGAAAGAACAGTGTGTATGAGAGAGAGGAAAGAACAGTGTGTATGAGAGAGAGGAAAGAACAGTGTGTATGAGAGAGAGGAAAGAACAGTGTGTATGAGAGAGAGGAAAGAACAGTGTGTATGAGAGAGAGGAAAGAACAGTGTGTATGAGAGAGAGAGGAAAGAACAGTGTGTATGAGAGAGAGAGGAAAGAACAGTGTGTATGAGAGAGAGGAAAAGAACAGTGTGTATGAGAGAGAGGAAAGAACAGTGTGTATGAGAGAGAGGAAAGAACAGTGTGTATGAGAGAGAGGAAAGAACAGTGTGTATGAGAGAGAGGAAAGAACAGTGTGTATGAGAGAGAGGAAAGAACAGTGTGTATGAGAGAGAGGAAGAACAGTGTGTAAGAGAGAGGAAAGAACAGTGTGTATGAGAGAGAGGAAAGAACAGTGTGTATGAGAGAGAGGAAAAGAACAGTGTGTATGAGAGAGAGGGAAAGAACAGTGTGTGTGAGAGAGAGGAAAGAACAGTGTGTATGAGAGAGAGGAAAGAACAGTGTGTATGAGAGAGAGGAAAGAACAGTGTGTATGAGAGAGAGAGAGGGGAAAGCAACAGTGTGAATGACTGGATACACACACACACACACAGCAGACTACTAGGAAGACAAATAGAAAACCACAAGATTAAAAATGTGTTACATATAAGTAAACATGGAAATAGAGAGATTATGGGAAGATGGGGGGAAGTCAATAGGTGATGAAAAAAATTTAAATGAAGAAAGAATGAAAAGAAATCATGAACCATTGGATCCCAGCTTCTAAGAGAATGAGATTTAAAGTCAAAGTTTCCAAGTAAGTTTTTGAATGTAAAAGACAACGTCAAATACAAGAGGATGATTTCTTAATATGTAAAAAAAAAAAAAAAAAAAATGTATATGATTATTTAATTACTTAAAACATATGTCCATCTAACATTAGCTAGAAAGCTTGAAACCCAGAATGAATTATAATAGGAAATATACAAGCAAATGAATGACTTTGATCCTCATCGAGTTCCCCCACACATTTGGCATTGTGCTAGACTAAGCTTAGAGAACAGTTTTATATTTATATATATATTTATATATATATATATATATATATATATATATATAAAATCACTGTCAACCCAACCAAGGCCGTACAGCCCCTAACACACAAGGGGTTACAGGGTGTAGAGGAATTAGAAACATTAGTAATGAATAGAAAGAAAAAAAAGCATTCAGGAGGACAGTAGATAACGACTGGCATTGCATTTAAATTCTTGCAGATTAAAGTTGACTGGAAAGCCTGGAGCCAGAAGAGAGTTCCACAAGTGAGAGGTGCGAGAAATGAAACTGATAGCATAGAAGTTATGTCTACATTGAATTAGCTATATTACACACACACAAATAATAAATATACATTTTGTTCTTCATCAGTAGCACAACTTTGAGTTTCAGGCACCCGATGATTGTACCATGCATCACAACTCTGAGTTGTGCTACTGGTGAGGAACAAAATGTATATTTATGATTAGTATAAATTTTAGCTGTTTATTATACTTTGACCACTGTTTTATTACCACCAGCACTCACCGTGTAATTATATATATATATATATATATATATATATATATATATATATATATATATATATATATATATATAGGAGGCACGGTGGAGTAATGGATATCGGCTTGGATTGAGGAATCGGAGAGCTGAGTTCAATTACAGTCAGATCCATTACATTCACTTACGTGCTAATACCCTTGGGAAAGGTATGAATCCTCTTCTTCTCCCTCCAGCTATGGGTAAATATGGTCAAAGAGTCAAGCGAGCTAGCTATATATATATATATATATATATATATATATATATATATATATATATTTGTATATCCTTACACTCTGAAAAAAATATTAGATAAAGCCTCACCCACTTTAAAAGATCAAAAGGGTAAAGGAGTAATAAACATCAAGACTTTCTGTCTTTCATCTCCATTTCACTTTCCTTTCATATGTTTTTTTTCTAGCTTTCCCTCTTACCTTCTACCTTTCTGTCTTCACAACTTCTTTGCCCCTACCTCCTCTCCCATGCTTTTCTAAATTCTGTTGTGTGGATATGAACATTAACAGTTGGTTATATATATATATATATATATATTAGAGGGAAAGAGAGCATGTCCTGTGTATGTGTGTGTGGGCATAAAGAATCAATATCACAGGCCGATTAAACTTACAAATATAGAAAATTCATACATATATATATATATATATATATATATATATATAGGACAGCATTTAAGCTAGCTCCTGCAGAGGGCTCTTGATTGGGCCTACATCACAATAGAGAAGAGTAGATGTGATAGGGAACAAACTACAGAAGAACTCAAAATTGATCACTGCATTTAATTCTTGCATTAATATTTAAGCTTACATTTTAGAAGTTCAACAATAATTCCTATGCTGTTACTTAATTTAAAGAAAATTTGATGTATGTAGGTCCTTACTTTTCATACAAACAATTATTTTTATTTCATGGGGGACTTTTGCAATTAATTTCAATTATTCACAAATTTATTTCCAAGTTATAAAAGTTGATATCATATAAAAAAAGTTTGTCGCCAAAAAAAATCACATTAAAAAGAAAAAAAATCACTGCTGAAAACAATGGCAGTAATGAAAACTTGGGAATCTAAAATTTTAGGATTGCAGGTCTGAAATGTTTTGAATTTTCTCACAGAGTTGGCCTGATTCCAAAATTCTTTACTCTAGGAGTAAAGTGGAAAACACAGACAATTTTGAAACACTGTAATTTGAGAACAGTAATATTTTTCACTTGAAAGGAGCTGTTGAAAGTTGTGCCCCTTTATATTGAAAACGTGTGACACAATGACACACTTACATTCATATTATATAGATATCTATGTGAGAAAGTGTGGACATAGGAATCAAAAGATAGCATTGATGCATGAAAATTAGTCACCATGCAGTCTTGATCCCTATAACAACACTATATCTATAAACATTTAATAGTGAGTTTAAAATGATTTTCCACAGAGCACAGATACTCTGATCTTAGGTGAAAGTGGTAATACAAATACAAATAATTTTATTATTTTTTAGGGGTACTATGCTAGTAAATTATTGAAAACATGTAAAAAATATTTCATATTATATAAAATATTTTGCTAACATTAAACACAGACAAAAGTTGTTAAATAATAAGGGTCTTGAAATAATAGCTATATATATGATTTTAATTTATCTTTTATATATTTCTTTCTGACAGACGACTGTCTTGGTGAAATGCTTACTTAATGCTACCAAGAGTGAATCCCATCACCAATTGAACTGGTTCATGCAAATAATACACATGTAACAGAACATCTTTTTTGTAATAAATTTTTATCAAATTTGGGATACTTTCATAATGATTGAAAGAACTTAAGAATAATGAAAACATTTTCAAGAGCTTAAGCAATTTTTTTGTCATATACAAGATTTACCAATTTATAAAATTAATGTTTTAGTTTAATTTCGAATATGCTTTTTTATTTCTTTTAAACATTTCTGCATTATGTTTATAGTATTCTGGTTTTAACAAATTGATTCAAATTTTAATTTGTCTCTGTAACAAAACAAAACAGCTCTTTTTCATGCCTCATTTAAAATATTGAATTTGTTTTGCCTTATACTAAAAAAAGTTAAACATGGGCTCAGTTTGCAAGAGAATAAAAAATGCAGACATAGGTATGGTAAACAGGTGGTTCTTTTTGTTGGAGGGGAGTTACCTCTCTGCCTGAGGATGTAGTCTGCATATTATTGACCCCAAATGATAGAGCAATCATTAAAAAAAAAAAAAAAAATGGATTTAGTAAACTTTTGGTGAAAAATAATACATTGTTCTTACCTTACTATGGTAAACATTAATTTTTAAATGAAAATGTATTTGGAAATCTCAATTGGTATAATGATAGCATATAATATGAACATTTATATAACGTCAAGTATAATAAAGGTTATTTGATTTATACTTTAATAATAAAGATTTAACATTTACTAAAAAAGTAAGGTATATGATTTTTCTGACATGAGGGATGCTAAAATACATCAGTATTGTCTATTTCAGTTTTTAAATTTATATATTATCTTTCTCTATAGATAAATAGTTTTAGAGGACTCAGAACAATATTGATTTAATGCAAATACTGTGTACTGAGGTGATAGTATCTGTACTAAATAAGCTATGGTAGATTTATTTTTCATTTCTTTTATTCAGGACATAACACAGATCTATGTTAATTATTCATTAGCTGTTTATCAATCTGGCAAGAAACTACATCTGTGCTATTTAGAGTATGAGCAAGCTTTTCTGTTGTAATTCTCCCAAAAAGAGAAGTTGTAAAAGAATTCATTAAGAAATAATTATCCCAATTATGCCAAAAGACTGCCAAGTTTTAGGGGTTTACTTTAATTTTTTATGTTTGAAAATCATTTCATGGACAAATTATCATTTTGCCAACAAAGGCAGATGTTATATATATGCATACATGTTTGTCTGTCCACATAATATCTTAAAAGTCTTCAATGAATTTCAATGACTTTTTGTGGAACGGTGAGTCATGAAGCAATGAACAATACATTGAAGTCTGAGGTCTGAGATAGATACACAAATCTGGTGGCTGAGAGAGATCTCATATTAAGATAAAGTCCAAAATATATGCAAAGAAAAATTATGCAGTTAACCCTTCAGTCATCATTGCATCTTATTTAGCAATGAACTGACTTTTTCTAGGTTTTTAATGTTGTTAGGTGCATAATAGAAAGGGAGCAGTCTTAATAACTAGGTGGGGGGAGTGTTCTCAGTATGTAATAAGCAGGTAATAAAAAGTGATAGGAAAATCTTTTAAAGTTTGAAAAATTTAAAATTTAAGTAAAAAGAAACTTTTTTTTTTTTAATTATGTTTATGAAAGAACAGTAATGGTAATAGTGACAATAACCAATACCTTATGAGGAAAAATTCAGCATTCTTTGACCAAGCAGCCAGTGCTACATTCAGTTGAGATTTATAAAATCTTTTTGATTAAAAATATTTTCAGGGAAATAGTTTTCTCAAGTCCACTGTTATTGCTTTTTCCAGTATTGATGGCAGCTTCCATCCTAACCTTTTGTTTGAAATAGTGTGGAATGTCAGTATCTTTATTATGTACTTATTTTCTCATTGAGTTACATGTGCTATCCATTTTAATTGTTGCTGCTATTGAAAGTCCTCAAGTGATGTGGCTTCTGTTATTTGGTAAAGTTCTTTGTTTTTGATTCTTTAGTGCGAGCACATGAATTTTGAAGAAGGAGGGTTCTTGTAAAAAAAAAAAGAAATATACAGGTTTTATTCACTCAAAGCCATTTTTAATTATTGATCTGAGAAAGCGGTTGTATACAGCTGACAGTTTAGATATTTCTGAGCAAGTTTGGCACTATGCATAACTTCCATATCAAAGTTTTATCTGATGAGGCTATTTAAGATGATGACTCAATTATTTTGGCTTGTCAATCCAGATAACCTTCAAGAAATCTAGGGACAATATCCTAGATATTTAAAGCATTGGTTCATGAATTTAGTGACATAGTAACTAAATTCCATTTTCATGCTAGGTAGTACAGAATTAGACTTAGTGAATGCAGGGTAAGCAATAGTTGAGCAGTACTAAATAAAAATGAGATATCCCTAGACATGAACAACTGAACAAAAACAATCTACCCTTGTAGGTTAAATAAAGGGTTCAGTTCAAAATTCCCTAAATATTACCCAAGTTGACCTGAAGAACATCAGAGGGCACAACGGCCAAAATATGATAACACCAACAAAGATGAGGACAATAGTCTGAATGCAGATAATGATAATTCCTCATCACAGACATTTAGTTCCCCATTGTAACCACTGAATTATCACTTAGATGCAGTCCTGCTTTTCATAGAATTCTTTGGTTCCTTTTTGTATATCTATAAAATGAATCATTGTACTGGGGATTGAGCTGAAGATCTTTTGGCTTCAAGTCCAGTGTTTTAACCACTGAGCCATGTTTCATACACCCAATTATGTGCCAACTTTCAGTAAATATGTTTCTCACATTGAGTGCTTCAGATTTTGTTATGAGTTTGTCACTTGTGGAGAGCTTAATGAATAGAACATGATCTTTGGAAACATGATCCCTGCAGGGCAAGAAGCATGTGAGCAGGAAGACCAGCCGGAGGCTAGCCAGCAAGAAATGACCTTAATGAGTAAACAATCATTTATTGCAAAGCTACTTTAACAGACTTTGAATATGAGCCTAAATATAAAAACATAAAAATTTTAAAAATGTATTCTTAAAAAAAACTCAAGTTTCCATTAAAAAAAATATTATTCTCAATAACTCCTGAAAAGGTTAAGTATACATACCACATGCAAAAGAAAAATATTTAGGATTGATTATTGGGAAGTCGATGTATAAATTTAAAACAAAGTTTTATTAAATTTTTTCTTCAGTCAATAATTTCATAATATGCATAAAGTTTAATTTAAATAGCATCTATTAAGGACATAGGCCATCATAGCACTTCAGATTCCTTTTCTTCATTTATGAATTGATATATTTCCATGGTAAAGATAGTAGAGTGATTTCTTGTTGCTTTCTTTACAGTTTCAAATTCAAACTTGCCAAAGCTAGACAACCTTTTTTGCCATGAGATTTAACCCATAATTGGGAAGAGAAAAAATAAATTCATACCTTTCCAAAAAGGTAGTTATGTAAAAGTAAATGCAACAAATTCAGATGGAATTTTAATTACAGTAGTTATTATAACTACAGAGTAGTACTCTCTTATATTATTTCAAGGCCCACAATGGATGCCTGAAACATTGGAGATTAATAAAATCTATACATGTTTTATCTTATGATAATATATATATATTTTTAATGTATGCTATAATTATAGGGAAAAAGTGCTTCATATCTGGGATATATATATATATATATATATATATATATATATATATATATATATAAGCAGTATAGACACAGAGTTCAACAGTAAATGGCGACTGTTTCATACCTGAAAACAATCTTTATGGCCAGACGATTGCAGTCAAGCACGAAATGGACTAACACCATTTGGTGTTTAACTGTGTCCACACTTTATATTTGCTTTTGTTTTCTTATATACATCTGCTGGTGTGCAACCAAGTGGTTAGAAGGTTAGTGGTCTGGCCAGAAGACCTGGTTTCGAATCTCACCATAGTCAGTTTGTCAATGAGGTGACTTCTTGATTATATTGGCTGGGAAGATGGTGTATAACCCCATTGAGAAGTGTTTTCAAATTATATCAATAGTAAAACAATTTTTTTGAAGAATTGTTAGTGAATTTGTGTATACAAAACTGGCTAGAAGCCATTAATGGTTGTGCTAGCATGAAGTCATAATTCATTGTGACTGAGGGTTTGTATTGTCTATTGATCATGCCAGATTATGTACTCTCTCCCAGAAACTGTAACTAAGGCATAATTGCAGCATAAACCACAGGTTGGCTCTGTGGTTGTTGAAGAAACACACATGTGCTTGAGCAGGTGTCTGCAACAAGGATTAGCTAGTCACTGTAATAGATACTTCCGAGAGTGATAGGTACCTACTTATATACCTATTATAATGTTTAATTCAGAAACTAGGCAGAATAAAAGATTAACAACATCTAATAATACTGAACATTTATAAACGATATACTATTGGGAGTTGGTTTGTTGTGCTACTCCAGAAAGTACCCAACTATTCCTGACATGCTCTATCTCTCCAAAAGCCAGATCAGACCAAAAATAGAATATTGTTGTCATATCTGGGCTAGGACTGCCTGATCTTCATTTTCTAGCCTTGCCAGAGTTTAAAAGCATTTATACAGCCTTTTGGGCAGTGAACCATTTACAATCCTATGTCCCCTTTCCAACAGATGAAACATCACAAACCTATCACTACTTTATCACTATTTCCATGGCAAATGTTCACACAAGCTACATTCTTTAGTTCCACTAGATCAGATCATCACCACTAGGACATGCCATACCACTTACTCAGGGTCATTGCATTATTTAGGAGGAACTTCCTCTCAGATATCTTCCTGAGAACTTGATCAGACCAAAAATAGAGTATTGCTACCATATTTGGGCTGAAGCTACTCAATCCTCACTTTCCAGATGTGACAGAGTTCAAAAACATTTACACGGCCTTGTGGGTGATGAATTATACTCCACCTTACAACCCCTTTTCAACAGACGAAACATTATGAGCCTCTCACTGCTCTTTTTGCTATTTTCATGGCAGTCATTCTGACAAGCTACATTCCTTAGTTTCACCAGTTCAGACCTTCACAACTAGGACCCATCATGGCCACGTACACTGAGTTGACTCATCCTCATTCCTTTTGTATTCCATTGGTTAGGAGGAAGTTCCACTCTGACAGATTCTTCTTCAGAACAGTTACTTTGTGAAATAGACTCACTAGAGGATGCTTCCTTGATTGCTACAGTTCTAACCGCTTCAAGTCTAGAGTCAATTATTATTTATCTTACATATCCTCATAATATGCACAGATTTTCTCATCTTATGTCCATACAATAACCTCACTCAGTAACCCTCTACCTTGAGTGGTTCTTAGGCTTTGTACATTAAAGAAATACTAAAATAAAACAAACCTGTGTAACACAGAGATTAATTTTTTACCATAGATCTTAGCAATCTGAGTAAATAACTTTTTTCTTATCAAATCAAGAACTTTCATCTTTTCACTTAAAGGAATCAATAACAATTCCTATTTAAATTTTCGGCATAACCACTTTGGGACAATTATTAATTAAAACTTAGGAATTGTTTAGTATTTGCTGAAAGCGAAACGACAGATAAAGGGAGGCAACTATACAGTAGCAATGCTAAAGAATGAAAGTGTAAAAATAAAAATTAAAAAATTCCAATTCTTCAGATTCGATCGTGATAAAAATCGTTGTAAATATTCGGCAAAAAAGTTAAAACAATTTTTTAAAGCTGAAAATGTCAATGTTATGTCTGGCCAAAGTTCAGCTCTAGGTCAAATTGAGAGTCTTTGAAAGGTCATTGGCAATAACACCAAGGCAAGAAAACTGACAACAGGAACTGATTTATAACAGAAATTACAAGAGGAATAGGGTTTATAGCCGCATCATGTTGAAACACTGATTCACGTACGATCAGCATAGTTAAGTATTGTTGAGCCTGGTGAGTACTTAGATGGGTGACTGCTTTGGAATACCAGGTGCTGTAAAATGGCTCAGAATTGGTTAATCAGAGAGTCGAGTTCCAATTCCAGTTGGGTTTATTTTCATTTACATGCAAATACCCTTGGGAAATGTATAAATCCACCTCTTTACCCCCCCAGCTATGAGTTAATTAGTAAGAGTTACATCACTAAATCGTTACCATCTCAAATAAATAAATGAAAAATAATAATCTTACAATCTAAAAATCTTTTCTGGTTTGAAATAACTTGCAAAAGCTATAGAAAAGAAACCAATCAATGAGAAACAGGACAAAATCATGCTTGAATAATGTTAGCAATTATTCGAGTCCTGTGGTCATAAATGTGCAGAAGTAATTAAAAGGAATGGCCTATAAATGTTTTATTAATAGTCTGAATTAATAATATGTTTCTTTTTGTTTTTTTCTTTAACTAAAGTTCACCCATGACAAGGTTCAAGAGTTACTTGTGGTAGAAGGTTACTGAATATGATGTGTGACATGAATGTAAGAGCAGGTAGTAGGAAGTGAAGATTATGAGGATATATAATGATTGATCATGGATTTGAAGAGGTTAAGAGTGAGGTGTTCAGGGATGTATCCACATGGGAGTCTGTTCCACAAAGTAGCAGGTCTAGAGAAAAGTAGGTAAGTAGACCTGTTAGCACTCATCCTTCTCTGGATCAAACCACAGCTGATGTCCTTCAACTTGAAGGCTTAGACACTTGGCTGTTGATTTCATCAGGGGAACCTTTTGCTTTGGCCATTGATTTCAGTCTAGGAAGTCCTCTGCCCAATGATGCCTGTACATCCTCACTGTACTGGCTGCATACATAGCTATGTAAACCAGTCTATCCCATTGTGCTAGCTGGTCAAGAGGATTCAACCCTTTGACAGGTCTTGTTTTTAATCCTGCTGGATGTTTAATCACCCTTTTCACCAGAAAAGCCTGGTAAGGGGAATTGGTTTAGTCACCGGTGATCTGACCATGTGGAAGCTAGTGCTGAGTTACATGGTACTAGTAACATTTGTAGAGTCATCTGATATAATTATATCATAATTATTATAGTTAGGATTTATTAAATTCATCAAAACTTTCATTCCTTCAAATTTCTATGTGTATAGTTACACAGCAAATCATAGACAGTAGTTGGAAAGTGTAACAATCATGTCTGAATTTTAGTACCAACTGAATTTGACCCCTTAGTATTCATAGGTAATGTTACAATTTTTCTTAATATTGCCCATTGGCTTTACCATTACTTCCTAGTTTTTCTGCCAATCCATTGCTTAGCTTTAGTCATTTTCTGTATTCACAAAGTAAAAATGGCCTGAAGAGTTACAAATGATAGGTAATTGTGGAGTGCCATGATCAACCACATCCTGAAGGGACACAGCACATAGAAGAAATGACGTTCAACTTTTCTTAATAATGCCCACTGGTTTTACCACTATTTCCCTGCTACTCTACCAATTCATTGCTTAGCTTTAGTAATTTTTTGCACTCACAAAATAAATATTTACCCAGCAGGAAAAAATTAAATTATTAAACATCAAATTTTGCAAGTTTTTCCCTAAAATTTGTTTTATCAAATATTGTTGTTCAGTCTGTATGTTGCAAATTGAAAAATCAAGAAGTCAGTGTTCCGGATTTAAGATAAAAATAGAGCAAATTTTGCTATAATTTTTATGATCAGTTTTTTTATGCAAAATATAGAGGGCTTACACTATGCACAGGTAATGTTTTGAAGAGATTTAAAAAAAACATACATTTTTGGTGACTGTTTGCACTATACACAGGTAATTTTTTTCTGATAGGATTAAAATTTATGCCCCAAAATTCAGGAGTCACAATATACATGATGTCGGCTTATACACGAGTATATACAGTATACGAAACTTTAATGAAAAGCAATCAGTTAGGAAATGAAATGCCTAAAGTATATCATAAAAGAAGCATCATGTTGTAACCTAGGGAAGGTTACTGAATAGAATAAACAAACGAAGGTTGGTAATAAATGATAATACTTAGGACAAGAACAACATATATAAGATTCACCAGCAGCGTGTAGAATAAGTAGTCAATTGCTAGAAATGAGTCAAGTGAATTCCACAATCTCCAACTGCAGACCAACATACAGTATTTACTACAGTATTTATGTGAATGGAGACATACCCGTTATTGTCCGTAGGTATGCTACAACACATCAACATCAAAGTCATTGTCCAAATGGGTACTACTCAGAGCTGGCTCATACTATTCATGAGCCCCCCCCCCAAAAAAAAACCAGGAGATGGGGAGTCTGATTGGGGGCCCCAGGCAGTGCTTATCAACATTTGCTTTTTTCTATCTACATTTATATACATTACAAATTAAATTAAGAGCAAATGACTATTAAAGGATGAAAATTTTCTTTTTCATCCAACTTTGAAAATTTTTGTTGCTCATGCTTAGTCTTGAAAAAACAATGTATACAATTCATTAATTTTTTTTTTCCATAATTTTGAATGTGTTAAATTATTCTACTTTTTAAAAAAAACAAAATCTGAAGTTGATGTTAGAAATTATTGCAAAACATTGTTGATTTATTTAAGATTGAATGACTTGTTGTTAAGTCTCTAATTTGTATTTTGATACATTGTATTTATTTTCAGTTTTCCTAGTTGAATTGTTCACCTATATTCAATATGATCCATTATTTTATATAATTAGGTTACAATAAAATTTGTATTCTATATGAATATTACTTTATGAAAATTGAGATGTAATAGAGTTGAAGGGTCCCGTATCATAGATTTTGGAGGGAGACACAAAAACCCTTGCACCAGCCCTGGTAACTTTCATTACTAAAAGCTCAGCTAAGAGAAGGAAAACTGTATTAAAAACAAATGAAAAATGTGTATTTGGAACTTGTAAAAACTCCTAGTATCCATAATGTATAATTGTTTCTCACGATCTTGAAAGGCTGCAGAACTCTACAATAGATAGCAGCTGCAAATTAATAGAATAAAGATTTCTAAAATAAAGAAACTAACCTTTAATTGCTTGAACGTAATTCCCACACAAGTCATGCCTGCGTTTCAAACAAAGTCCAACTGAAACCGATTCCACATCAGCATTTGGTAAATCCACTGAGTTGTTTTTCCATTTTTTGATTGTCGGCATGCATACTAAATTATTTATATTCTCTCCATTTTTTGCGATTAACAGACGTGTGCAACATTCATAATCTGTCCTCACTTCAAACTGGATTTTTTTATCTGCCACTAAGTACTTAACGTTTTCAGGAGTTGGTAATGCCAAATCTGAAATGAAAATGACAATTATGAAAAATGATCACTCAGAGAATGCAATGTATGAACATCAATGTTGCTACCTTTCAAAACATATACCTAAAATAATCCATTGCTCATGCAAGATCACAGAATATTTAAAATCTAATTAGATTTCATTTGTTTTCCAGAACACAGGGAAACAAAAACAAATCAAATTCATATAAATTGAAATTAAAATAATATAAATTAAAATCCATAGTCATTAAGAAAAATAAAGGTGTGTGTAATAGTCTCTAGAGTTTTCTACCGTGTATTCAGTCTCTAGTTTTCAAAAAGGAAGGTGCTGGGAACTTTTGTTCACAAAAGAAAAAAAGATACTATTTCACATCCCATCATTCATATTTGTCAGGAAAAAAAAAAACAACATATATCATATACAGTGCTGTTTGATAAAAGTGACTCAACTGATTTTTTTTACTAAATGTTCTCTTCTCCGATGAAATGATAGTTGAGCTAAATTCAAAGGATAAGTGATCTAAAATCTGAAGAAGAAGCTTTGAAAGCTCTTTGAATTTAGCAGTAAGTACTGTCAAGAATCTGTTCAGTATAATGTTCTGGGGATGCTTTTCATGGAACTGGTTTCTGGAACCTATTGAAAAGACCCTCAGGAGCAAGCAGTACAAGAGAATTTTAGAGTCTTGTCTGTTCCCTTCTGCTGAAAGGGTGCAAATCGACACCACCAAGCTCATTTTTATGCAGGATAATGCTCCCTGTCACAAATCAAAATTGATGAAGGAATACTTTGATGAGAAGCAGGTGAGTGTTATGACATGGCCGCCCCAAACTTCTGACCTCAACCCCATAGAAAACATATGGGGCATTATAAAGTACAGGCTCTCAAAAAAGCAGTTGAGCAACAAAGAGGATTTGATTGTGAATTTCATATCTGAATGGAATTTAATGCTTGGAGATGAGATTTGCCAGAACTTAAGTCAATGCCAAAAAGGGTTGAAAAGGTTATTCAAAATAAAGGTGGTCCCATAGATTATTACATATTTCGAACTATATTACCTATTATAAATAAATTATACCTCTATTATTCTTTATTTAAAGCTGTTCGGTTATGTTTCTATTGATTACTAGTTGCAGGAAATAAGTGAGTCACTTTTTTTTTGCTCAGAGTTTTTCCCTAAATCTCATTTATATCCAAAATTATAATTATCAATAGAATACCTTAGGGTGAGTAAACTTTTTTACTAGGTGGTTGGGAAGGGGTCTTTATATTAGTAAGATTAAAAATTAGTTTGACCCCAAAAACAATAGGCGAAAAAATCTTTAAGTAAAAAAAATCAGGTGAGTCATTTTTATCGAACAGTAATGTATATGGTGAGGTGATTTTTTTCAGTTTCTATTGTCTTTATTTCCATGGGGTCACTCCAGCAACACTTTCTACTTCCACACTGTTGAAAGATCCATAGAAAAGATTGGTAGAGATGTTGAAGTACTTTGTTGAAACCTCATCTGATTTGTCCAGTCTGATCATATGCAAAAGTTGCCATTGTTGTAAAGTAAAAAAGTAGTCACTGGAATGATAACTCCCAATTCGCTAATAGGAAAACAATTGTAAATAAGCTATTTTGTGACTATTGTATGCGATCCGTCCAGACTAATTTAGACAGGGTTTCAACCAAGAACTTTGATACCCCTTTGCCACTTCTCCCTTTCTGTATCTTTCAATATACCATAGGTGGAGAAAGCATTGCTGGAGAAACACATAACTGGCTAGAGACAACAGGAGAAGGAAAAACAAAACATATCACTGACAACATATTGTCACATTAAATAAAACAATAAACAACTGTGAAAATCTTTAGGTTATCACCCAAATGTAAAACAAGGAATCTAATAACTATAAAGCAAATAAAATATTGTCAGTCACATTGTAAAAAATTTAAAAAAATATTCTTTTTATTTGAGTTTTTACAATCTGGGAACCAGTCAGTTATCCCAAACTCAGTGCTAAAATTCACATAAATGCATTAGGATAAAACACTTTTATTACCCACTAACTTGAAGGCCCAAACCTCAAAACACTGATGATGGATTTGCCTTTTGTCAAAATCTTCCAAACTGTTCTTGAGTTACTTTGAATTTAAAATATTTAGAAAATATTTACATTTTCAAATCTCAACATCCGTTTCTCTTTCTTCTTCCTAATGGCTGATTCTTGTTCTACATGCACACTTTTTATTATACATTAAATTTTAGTGTATATATGGAAGTGTCTCACTTGGAACACAATGGTTGTGTATTTGAGTACAAGTGTATGTATCATACTGTATTCCAATAAAACCATTTCTAAGACCCCCCCCCTAAACTTTCTGTACAAACTGGTTCATTATTCTTTAGGAAGAAAAGAAAACAATTCATTGCTGACTTCTTGTATTTATGAAGTTGAATTGTCTATATACTAAAAGAAGCAAAAAAATCACAGGTCATACAATTACTGCTCCATTGGGATTGACCATCTCACTTCTATATTCCAATAGTTTCCTAGAATTCCAACTATAAATATTCATATTAATTAAAATACAATATTTCATTTAAAAATGCAAAAGAATTATCTCATTGACAACATCTTTGTTTAACAATCAAAATAAATTATAGGTTAAAAAATGTGGATAAGTTTCTCTATCATTGGTTTAACATTTGTTTATCAATGAATTCAATAGAGTTACTCACAAATTGTATGCACAGAAAAGAAATTTGAACTTTTGCTCTTTCCCAAACGATTTCTGCCTTGTACAGAGAAAACATAAGTTGTGTCTGGCATTAAATCTGCAAAGAAAAATATAGAAGAAAGTTGAATAAAAAATGTTATGACAACAATTTATAGAAGATAAAAACAGATTTATTGAAAGCAAAAACAATAGATTTCTTAAATAAATATCTATGTTGATATTTTCCAACATATATTTTCACTTTTCAAGCAAAATCTTTGATAATGATAAACAAAACAAAACATGGATCATCATTATTATGGTGATTTTCTAAGAGTAGCTTAGAAAATTACCATAATAGTGGGACCACTACTATTATGGGATTTTATAATTTGGGAACACCACAATTATGGGATTTCCTTTTGCATTGCTGGATGAGATAAGATGATCAAATTTTTTTTTTTTAAACGATTATAAAAAAAAAAAAAAAATGCCACAATACTCAATGTATGGGGCATCCAGTGAGGATCAAACTCGCTTTTTAGTTGTAACTGATCTAACAAGACAAGCTTGCTAACCATTTCATCATGTCAAAGTGTGCTGGTGGTCCCTCTGTTATAATTTCATATCAAATTAAGTAAAGTATATATCTACATTGGTGAATAATAGAATGACAAAATGCAAGTTCTTCAAAAGGACTTCTTCAAACATTCCATTACCCACCATTAGTTTGATATCATTATATATATATATATATATATACACACACACACGAGAGAAAAAGCTAAAGAAATTAATAAAATAAAGTTAATAAAAACTAAATATGAATCTATTAAAAGATAACTAATAATAGGTAAAGTTATGTTAATAAAAATAACATCAAAATGGTTGATTATTGTTTGTAATTTTAGGGCAGAATGAACATGTGGCTAGAAGATTAGGTTTTCATCTATAAGACTTGGGTTTAACACTTACCATGGTCAATTCGCCAAGTTTTGGTTAGTTTTTTTTTTATGGTATATCAACCTCAATGCTTTATTTAATGCCACAAGATTTCTACAATCGATTCATATGAATAGAATATATATTCTTTGCAAGGAAATGGTTTGTAGATCTGGTTTTATTGATATACTTTTTGTAAAGAGGGTTGTTGTTGAGAGTCTGCTTTCATTGATGTATTCTTTTCAGATACACAGTTTGTAGAGAAATTGATTTTGACATTATCCTTGGGTTTATAATTTTTGGTATAGACCCACTGTTTTGAGAAATTATATCATCCACTTTTACTTTCTCAAACAGCTCATATATATTGTTTATATTATAATATTTTTGTCTTGTGAGAGCAATATCTGAGCACTTTGTAAAATATTTTTAATAGTATATGCCATTTTACATGCTTGGCATACTGGTAGTAAGTTCAATAAGTAAGAGTGGTTATTCTTGTATGGCCAATGCGTACATGGGCCAGTACCACTTCTTTCTTATGAGATTTTCTTGGAGCTGACTTCCATTCTCCTAGTTTGAGCTGAATTGTGAAGAGCTTATTGTTTGGATTATCATCTCAGTACTGCTACCAATCATCTTGAACGTATTTATTAATAACCTTCTTAAAATCTATGTATGGGATTTTTGTCCTTGTATCCACATTCACATCTAAAGCCGACTTGGCTGCTAGATCTGCTTCATTATTACCTTTAACTTCGATGTGGCTAGGAATCCAGCATAGTCTGATGTGTTTATATTTGTTAATAGTGCTCATTTTGCATAATATTTTCATAATAAATGCGTTGTTGGATTTTTTCCTTCAAAACCAATAGGATGGATAGTGAGTCCAAAAAAATTAGAAAATGTTTTTGTTTGCTCTCTGAGATAAGGTTAAAAGCTAGCTTGAAGCCATAAGTCTCTGCAGAGAAAACAGAGCTTCCCTTTGGGAGGCATCTTTTTTTGGTAATATTTGGCTCACTGCTGCACATCCTATCTTGTCCTCACATTTTGACCCATCTGTATAGATAGGTATATGTTAGGAAAGTTTGCCAATATGTCCTGAAACTTATCCTGGAATGTGAGTGGTTGTGTTTTTCGTTTTGAGAGATTATGTAATTCTAGCAGAACTTTGGGTTGCTTGATAGTCCATGGTGGAATACTGGCTGCAGTTGTTTCTTGTATATTTGTTGATGTGATGTGTTGGGAATCAGAACCCTGACTCCTGAAGCCCTCAACCACCAGGATCCTGTCCCCAGACACTATGGGTCACCAACAATGGCAAACAGGTGGCCTTGTTTGGCAGGGGGTGTCTTTACCCCCTCTGCAGTCTGTGTATTCTGAAAACCCAGCTGACAGGGTATAATTTGTCAAGCATGTAGTTTCTTGATAATACTGGCCTGTAGAGATGATCCCAATATGTGACACTGTTTCAAAAGTACCCCAAAAGCACACTACTGTGAATGAAACTGAGAAGATGAAAATTTTCAAACATTGTCAATAGTTGTACTAGCACAAAGTCACAAATCATTATGACCGAGAGTTCAAGTATACTGGCCTTGTTCAATTACTGGTCAAGTGAAATTATGTGCTCTCCTTTAGAAAGTATAACAAATGTCTGTTCAGTATAGTTGCAGTATAATCCACAATTTGGTTCTGTAATTGTGGAAAAGAAACACGAATGTGCCTGAGCAGGTGCCTGCAACCGGGATTAACTATTTTTTTTTTTTTTTTACTGAAAATGTATTTATTTCCTACACTGTCACATTTTGGAAATGAAATACAGTATAGGAATTTTGATATGTTAGTAGTTGTATGGGCAATGTACTAAGGATAATTACTTATTTCCTTATAGTGGTAAGTAAAGAGCAACAAAATGCTTTTGTTACAATAATTCTGGTAAAACAGTAAATTTATTTTTGCTTTGAATCCTGAGAGAGAGAAACTGAGAAAGAAAAAAATCTGCTTTTGTTACAATAATGCTGGTAAAACAGTAAATTTATTTTTGCTTTGAATCCTGAGAGAGAGAAATTGAGAAAGAAAAAAATCTTTCCAATCATTTTAATTGCAAACTGAAAATATATGAACGTGAAAATTATTCAATTTTAACAGAAGGTGAATGAATTTGAATAGTAATATGAATTTGTTGAATAGTAATATGCAATCTAGTAAAACAGAAATGAGTTTTTAAAAGTTGATGTCAATGATACTGATGGATTAATTGACTGATTTGTTTTTTACGGCCCAACAACTTTTTGCCGGTTATTTAAAGTCAAAACATATTTCGGATTATAGGAGGTCGTTTACAGAATCCGGTGTTTCCAAGCGACCCTCCAATAATTACTGACCGGGCCGACGTTCATAATAGGGCGATTAAATTAATGTTATGTAACGATAATTCCAAGGGGGATAATTATAATAATGGCTTAATGTAAGGGAAGTAACTAAATGTTAAACATACCCAACAAAATTTACATGATTTTTGTTAATATTTCGAATTTTATTCACATGATTTAAAGAAGTCATAAAAATAAAAAATTATTAGAATGTTATCTAAATAATTGAAATGTTTTTTTTTTTTAATTCTTGACAGAAAGAAAATTAAATAATATCAAATTATAACCAAGCCACTTCCATAAACTTTGAAATACTAAGCTATTAAATTTTAACTGTTTAGTTATCAGCAGATTATAGTAAACATTGTTATTAAAAACAACAAATATGAGGACAACAATCGGAATATAGTGTAAATAACTTTAAAAAGCCTAACTGCTTTCTGGGAGTAGTAAACAAGTGGCCCTACTTTTATGTAAGAAGTTAAGATTTAAAAAAAAAAAAAAAAAAAAAAAAAAAAAGAAAATCATAATTGGCGGAAGAAAACAATTTAAAGCATCCTTTGCATAAATCTTTCCTATTATTTAACAAGTGAAATTATTTCATTAGTAAAATTGAATTTAAAAAAAAATATTGACACATGAAAGGAACAAAAAAAAAAAAAGAGGACAAGAAACAATATACAACAAAACTACTCACTTGTAACATTATAATAAATCTTGCCAGTATTTTCAACAGCAACTTCAACTGAATGGTTATGTGTACTATTCATGTAAGAAACTACAAATGTCTGCTCCTCTCCACCATTGAAACCAGCAACCCATGATAGATAAACAGACTCCCAGGTAGCATCGACACTAGACAGGTTATCTGGGGGGTCAGGAACACCTTTACAAAAATAGAATATCAAAATTAAATTTTATTGGAAAATAAACAAATTGTTGATGGCATAATGGAATGTGAAAATAGCAGGTTATCAACATAAGTAATACCAATGATATTTTCATTATTTTAATAATGATGCATGATAATTTGTGTTTGTAAAGTTTTAAATAATTTGTGTCATCAAAGTATGATCCAGCTTAGTTACTAATTTCATTCTCTTGAAGATGGAGGTAAGTATGAAGTACATAAGATATATAAATGTTGTACCAGTTTAGAAAAGGCAATAATTTTGTAGAAGCAACTCCAAAGTGCAAATGTTAATTATCGAATAATTGTCATTTTTTTAAAAATTAATAATAAAGCATTAATTAATTTTAATAATATCAGATAAATAATAAGTAATAATAATAATAATTGTAATAAAATTAAAAAGGAATATAGTTAAAAATAAAAAAAACAATAAATAAAAAAAATTTAAATTAATTTAATAAGTAATGAATGATGTTCATAATATTAATAATAGTAATTATTATTAATGATAATAAAAACAGGGAAGGTTAAATAAGAAAATAAGCGTCTCACACAATTAAACTCACTTGTTTCTCGTATATCCCTTGTTATAACTTGAAATCCATACGTGTTGTTGACATAGCACTTGTAAACTCCAAGGTCAGCTCTTGTTGCTGATGGGATTATGAAAGTGCTCTGATATTTATTGATGCCAAGTTCTCTCACAATGTTTTTAAAGGGTAGTGGCATATTATTTTTTGACCAGTGGAATTTTGGAGGAGGATATACTTGAACAATGATTGAAATGGATGCATTATCATTCAAGTCGATGGCAACAATCTCGTCCTTCTTCTTAATCTGCGGAGAAGCTGAAAATAATAAAGATAGATTAAAAATTAACACTGATTAAATTTTCTTTCTTTTGTAATATTTATTATATTAATTACTAAATCAATAATATTCAACGATAGTAGTTAAATACAGAATCTAAGGGGAACAACTTATTATAGAAAAATATTAAAGTTATCTCCCCTACATTAATTCCGGAGCATGATTTATGTTGATAATGAAAATAGAACGAGTATTCCGATGTTAGCCTTGGCAAAATCACTTATCCAGTATCTTAAACGTCCTAATGATACTGGATTAGTGATGGTCAAACTATACTGCATGTTATATATTTTTTATTATTACTCACAAAGTACCTCATGAAATTATTTTTTAAAATTTATTTTCATGAGTTGAGAGAGATTGTAACTTGGTGGGCATATGAATTTCAGTAGTTGTGAAGGGGGGGATTCAAGTTAATTAAAACAAACAACTTATTCATTAAAAAATCGGTTCCATATCTTAGTGATGAGAAAAAGGCTTTGTCTCAGATTTGGTTAAGCTATCATATTTGAAAACATAATACCCCACTCCATGTCCTTCATTTCAGCAAGAAATATTAAACCCTCTGTGAAATGTTTGAACATGCAACAAAATGTTTTTCCTTAACATTTAGCAAGTGGAAAGTCAAAGTTTCATTAGTCCAATAGCTTTCTGAATGCCTCTATCAGGTAACTATGAGGAGTTGCTGGTTTTAGTCCTAATATGTGTGAATTAGAAGTATATGACCATAGAGTAAAGACAGTTTGTAAAAATTGTGGTAGAAATGTATGCAAAGATTATAGTAACCTTGTTCATTCTTTGGAATGTGAAAAAAACCCCAGTGAAATTGGAGTCAGATTGATCATAAATTGTTTTTAAATATCATACAGCAAATAAAGTGAAATCTATTTTTGCATATTTGAACACTTGAAACTTACAAATTCATTTTTTTAATATTGGCCTTTTAATTTGATTTTTCATTTTTATTTATTCTATAAATACTAGAAAGAACATTTAAGACAAAATATAACAGGAAGATTAAAAACTAAATGATATATTTTCATTGAGGTGTTTGAAAACCTCAGGATACTAATGCTGCAACAATACCTCACAGTACTTATAGATGGTTAAGATAAAAATATTTCTTTTTGTATATAAAACAAAGGAGGGGTAGTTTTTAGTCATATTTTTTATAAACAAAGTGGGTTTTATAAGGCAAAAAATACAGTATATACCTAAAAGATCCATTTATTTCACAAGTTTAATTTTCACCAATCACTCAATAAATGTTGGTTAGCATCAAACTTGACTGAGAATTGGAAGCTAGAGGTGCCGAAAAATGTAGGGTAAGAAACACAAGGAGAATGTAAAGAAGGATAACACATTCATTGGCAAAGGACATTGCCTTTTCACTGCTTTACTTGTGAGGTACCATATGATATTAATTACATTACACTCCCCTTCTTGAAATGAGCACTTTATCTTTATTTTGTCCTCTGCACACTGATCTAATAATAATGTTAGTCTCTGGAAACTCCCCATTGTTATGTTTTTGAACTTCACATGTTATAAAAAATGTTAAAAGTAATGAATAAAATCTTACATTTGATGATAATCTGCATATTTGATTTCAGCACAAAACTCTGGTTAAGTAAAGTTGTAACCACACAAGAATAATTTCCTGTATCACTGGGTCGCACATTTCGGGAATTTGAACTAAAATCTGTGTGGAAAAAATAATTAATATGAGATTAATATTACTTTATTCGAAAATAGCCAACTTACAATTCTGAAGTTTGGATTGATAAAATTGAAAAGTTCTTTTCAGGTGACATCAACTTCATGACAATAAAAAGAACAGAGACAATATTTAAGAACAAAGTGCAATAAACTAAGTAAGAAGATGTTGTTTCTCATATGATGGTATTTTAATGCTTTAATGTGATAGACCTGATCATAACTCAAAAGTAATAAAGATCATGTCCTTTTGAGCTAGCAATCTGTGCAGCCAAGGATACAAAAGAAAGAGCTGAATTCTACAATCTGTTATTGTCTTTGATCCATGCAGTTTACTTAACAGTCATAGAACATTTCAATAAAAAGCAACTAAAATAAGATGCAACAAAAAACTGATGAAAAATTAATATTAATAAAAAAAAAATGCTTCATCTAAGAAATATGAAATTGAAGAAAAACTGAAAATTTGGCTCAAATAATTAAAATAATTTAAGCAACATATATTCAATGCTGATTAATTTAAGAAAAATAAAAAACTCTAGGTTCAATAAAGTTATCTTAAAAAATTCACAAGAAAATTTCATAATAATTATCTAAAAAATCACAAAAATAAAATTCCAGCCTATATTTCAAGTGTTATTTGATAGAGGTTGGAAAATGAGGAATAATTCTATGGATAAAATTTAATATAAAGAAATAAAAAAAATAAATACTTACTACTGAAGTTCAAAAAACTGGTAACTACAAAACTGTTTTGTTGAGGCTGTGGCTTGGACTGACCAACTATATAGTCATAACGTGATACTGGATGGCCATCTTTATACCATGTAATATTTGGACTTGGATTGCCTCTTACTTTACACATCAGAATTGGACTCTTATCCGTTACATTGAGATAGAGGAATCGGCTGAGTTTCTTCTGGAACTCAGGATATTCTGGAACAAAAAATAAATGAATTGAAAAAGGTTTAAAATACTTAAACCAAATACAGGAGCCAATATGTGTTTGTCTTAAACTCTGAACTCTTTCGCTCAAATCACTGGATTCAACCAACACTTTATCCACTGGGCCATGTGTCCTTGAGTTGTGAGTTCAATACCTGGCTGCAGCCGAGGTGAACAAAAACTTGGAGAGCCGAGTTAAAGTGACATGATTGATACTGAGGAATCCGGAAGAGGCATGGCACGTGAAACTAGAACAATCTACTCCAGCGGATGAAATAAAGGGTTCAGTTTGAAATTCCAATCAGATGGAGAAGGCCGGAGCATACAACGGCCGGAATGTTTAGAATATGGCAACAAAGATGAAGACAACAGTCTGAACAATGTAAATAGTGTAAATAATTACAATACCTCATTTCAGAATTATAGACAAAATCTTATGTCTTTTTAACTACAATAAAAATGTTCATGTATATTTGCGAATTTTTGAAAAAGAAAAATCTGTTGATGGACTTAATTTTCCCTAAGAAAAATAACTTGTACAGAGTTAGTTCCCTTGATGTTTTAAAAATATTTAAGAACTTCATAATAATTGACAAAGTACAGGGTGCAGCAGAAATGCCTTCCACATAATGGTAAGATATTAGCTAGATGAAGACACCATTGCCACTAATGTCTTACCCTTATATGGGAGGTATTTCTGCTGCATCCTGCATAGTGTTATGATTCACAAGGTTTTTCTGTTTGACTATTACTACAGAGTAATGAGTTCAATCCTCATTGAGGGTTCCTTACAAAATTCTATATTAAATATTTATCTATAGACTTAAGTATAATAACAGACAGGACCAATATTCACCTATAGACTCAAGTATTAAGAAAAGAAATAGATTTTGAAATTAAATAACCCAAATAGGGTTGATATATAGTAAAATCCATCAACCTAAATCCATAAAATTAAGGAGAGGGTCATAAAGAGTGGTTTTGCCACTGAAAACAATTTTATTCTTTTAAAATATACAAACCCTTTGTATCTCTTTAGAAATAACAAAGAATGGATAGCTGTTATGTAGGAGAGGGATATTTAAGTCCCTTAATTGTGTGTGGGTATATATATATATATATATATATATATATATATATATAGATAAAAAAGTATTTGATAATCTGTATGGATAACCCCAAGGAGGATGTAATTCAGAGAGCTCAATGTATAAAATAGAGCAAATATTAGTTAAATTAAGAAACAGTCAACTTTAAGGGTTCATAGGATTATGGTTTATTTCCCCAGGGACGGGATTTTCTTCCTGGTTCATCGGATCCCATTTCTAAACTGAAAAAATTGTTTAAAAACTTACATATTATTATTCTTATACACATGTTTTTGAGGAGGCAGCTTTAAGTTGATATAAGGTGATAGAGAGAAGGGGACGAGGAAGACGATGGATATGTGATCAAAATTAGAGAGGGAAAGGGGTGATGGGAAGATGCTTACATCTATCTTTCTGTTGTGGAGTGATTTCGCAGTGGAGGCTTGTATTTGTACTATATCGGTCCTAAAATAGGTTCGACGTACAAAACATTAGGAACTTGATATAATAGGTATTACACAAAATAATCTTGTTGTGGTCGCTGTTACTTTCGTATTCGACTAACTGTCATCTGACATCGACTGACCCTCGTTTCTCTTACTACTCCTACTTATATTAGGTGGGAGAGTCTATTAACTATAGAATAGGTGTGTTTCACCATAACACTTTCTTAAGATACATATGTGTAAGGGTGGTAGGGTAAGGGGCCAGACATGTTGACCTATAACAAATTCTTTCACAGGAAAAATGAAAGCAGGCAAGGAAAAAAGTGAAGAAAAGAGAAAAGACAGAATAGAAAACAAATAGGAAAACAGGGGTGGGGAGGGAAGAAGAACTGGAAGAATAAATTATCATATAGGCATATTGTGGCGAAATTCAAAAATACGGATTAATGCAATTTACAATTGAAATTAACCTGAAGAAAGCCATAGAATGGATTGGTGAAGCATATAACATTATCTACGACACAAAGGAATCAAAATATTCAAAGTTTTCAAATGCAGACTAAAATTTTAAAGACTGCATACATGACAGATAAACCAAGTACTAACCTTTCACTCTGACTTCCAAAATATCCGTACCTCCTTCCCCCTCAATATTTTGAGCATTACATGTATATGAGCCAGAGTCTGAGAGAGTAGCATTTGCAATAACTAATTTCTTAGTTGATTCTTTAAAATAGTTATTGCCAATTTTTCGCCATCTAAAGTACGGATGTGGATAGCCAACTGGAAAAGAAAGAAACAAATTAACATATGGAAAACAATTGCATATTTTTAAAATTTCATTATAGTTATTCAAGCATAATTATATATAAATATACTTATATTTTAACCAAATAATTTCTATAAATTACAAATGGCTGATGAATATTCAACTTTAACATTCAAATAAAATAAAGTAAAAGTGAAACAAAATTTCTCCAATTCCTAATAAGGATCTTAGCTATATAAGTGAATGTATATTGCATATATGCATGTTTTTATGAAGTTCCATTCTAACATTAGCGATGAAGTTTGGGAAACTGGATGCTTACAATGTGTATTTATAAATTTTTTATAAGCTATAATTTTGATACCCGAGTTAACATGTTTTTAACCTGGGGGTATGATATTTTTAAATAAGCAAATTGAGTAAAATTAAAAGTATTTTCAGGATTCTTATATATTTAAACAAAGTTTAAAACAAAACCATATTTTAAAATGGAACCTTAAGTGGGGGAAAAAATGAACTGGTTTGGGGCTAGTACTTACTTGCATTTTGTGGCAGATCACATATCAGTACAATATCTTCTCCTTTAATAGGTGTACCAGCAAGTCTTAGAATAGCAGGACCTGGTTTGTCTGAAATAATAAGTTAAAATCATTATAAAGGACAAAACAGAATAAGAACATTGAACAGTTAAAAAAAAGAAATGCTTAAATTCATCAATTGTTATCTAATATTTATTTGTTATAAAGAATGGAGAATATTTCTCTCAAGGGAGATAATAAGAATTTAAAGACCAAGAGTAATTGCCCTTGCCCCCCCCACTCCAATAAAAAACTCACTTTAAGTGACTTTGATAATTGAACAGAACAAAGAACATAAATCTTCATATTAGTTTTGTTTTTTTTTGCTTTTTGAAAAGCTGCAATTACTAATATTCTTTCAATATGCATCTCAAATTACATTAAAAACATATTTTGAACAGGCATAAATTCAATTTTACAGACAAAATAAATTTAAAAAATATTGATGCCATATTATGTTTTATGAAAATAACATCTGTTACATATCCAGACTTTTGAGCTGTCATTAATCTTA